CACTAAGGCTTTTATTTGTCCTTCCAAACCCACTGGTCCCAGCCTCTTTCAGATGTGGGAAGTGGGCTTATACAAACAGTAAGGGGTAAGGAGGACTTCCTGGTTATCACTGCAGGGGGCTGCACTCTCCTTGTGGGAGAAGCTCTCTTCAGACAGCAATTCCTTCAGGAAGTACCTGAAGAACCTCGGTCATTTCTACTTACTCATCTCTAGCTGTGTCAAGTGTTTTTAGTCACCCCTTTGTCCCCACGTGTGCCTCTTACTACCAACCCAGAACTGGATAATTTCTGAAGTGGGGTGTGTGGGGCTGCTTTGAAAGCCTCTTGTGCACTGGTACATTTGATACAATAGGGTGTCAAGACACAAGAGGGACGGGGCAGGACTCAATAAGATGCTCAGTTTCTTAGTTTGCCGGGTGGCAGTCCAAAGGTGATATTCACAGCGTGAAGCTTGAAGAATGATAGCCCTTTTCACAGAAATGAATGAAGACAGTGTGTAATGGAAAAGGATCACCGAGGAGAGGAGGTCCCAGTCATAGGCACGCCTTTTTGGATCATCTATCATGACTATCTATGGCTTGTCACCAGAGTTGGACCAGTAGACAGCAGAACAAACAAGGCGCCTGCATGTTGCCTAGTGGTCTGTATTCAAGGCCATAGGATTTTTCCAGAACTTAGGTGGAGAAAGTACACTATCACACCACAATTGTATTTGAGGCTTTGCTATCCTGGAAGCCCTAGATCGTTGACAGGTTCTTCCCAGGCCACTGATGACTCTGATCAGACCCTGCTCTCTTTGTGCATAAATGTCCCGCTAATCAGAGCCTGGTGAGTTGTTAGGACTTTTGAGGGTGCCAGAGGAAACTTGTCCCCTGGCTGCCATGCCCAAGGTAAATGAAGGAGACAGGAAGGACTGTCCAGGACACAGTGTTGGGAGGCTGGGCCACAGGCTGCTGGGGCTTCACGTGTTCTTCCCCAGTAGTGCCCTACTGTGCCAACACGTGCCCAGAGGAGATGCCCTCCTGGAGCTGTCACTTTTCACAGCTTGAATGCTGTAGTCTTTGGGGAAAATGCACACTGGACACTGGTTGTGAAGCATACTGGGAGAGGGTAGCACCCTGGCAGTAGCCCGGATGGAAAGGGAAAAGCAAATTGCCACTGTGGGAGGGCAGATGAAGGGTTTCTCGGGAGTAGTTCCTCAAATAATCTTTCTTTAGGAGCAGCACATTTGTGCACACAGTTTGATGTTCAAATGCTTTTTCTGAAGGTCTTTCAAATTGAGGTCATATCAAGCACCACTATCATGAATGTCCCTCTCTTTTTCCAAAGACTGCTATGCAAGCCCGGGCCCCTCCCCTTTCTCCTGCTTCTGTGGAGCAGATGATGGTGTTTATTAGAGCAGCCAGCTTGAGCCAGATATTCTCAAGGTAGATTTATTAGTGTTGGGCAGGCAGATGTGTCAGACTTTTGGTCCCCTTTTATATGCAGCAGCATCCAGTCTTTTGTTATATCTTTGCTGCATTGTATTTCCTGTAGGTTTCTTTATCTTTCACACGAGTAGCTTAGGAGCTGCTGCCCCTGGCCTTCTATTCTTCTACACAAGGGGAACTGACTTTTTTAAGGACCTCTGCAGGTGGACAGCAGGCTACCCCAGGCAGAGGTAGCGGTGTCTCCGCTCTCCCAATGTACCATTAAAGAAAGTGTACCCCTTGCCTTAGGAAATGCTGCTTGCTGTCATGCGTATGGAAATTATGTTTAAGCCAAATATGGTGATGCATTCCTGTAACCCCAAAACTAAGAAGGCAGGTGGATTGTCAGTTTGAGACTAGCCTGGTCTATATAACAAGATCCTATCTCATTAAACCTAATAAACAGACAATATAAATAAATAAATAAATAAAGCCTTTAGATCTTTCATGATAGATTTTGGAACTCCTCATAGGAGAATTACCTTGTAAATTATGAGTCAGATACTCTGCAAACCAGATAACAAACACACCTGTGGTCTAGGAGATGGGCTCAGAAGGTGTAATACCTAGAAAAATTGAACAAGAATCCTGGAAGCATCTGGAAAAACTGGCTGGAAAGCCCCCTAGATGAACAGGTGAAATCCAGGCCTCCCCCTCAGGTTAAGGTTTCCCCTGGGCAATAGGGCATGGGCTGTGCCAGTTTAGAACAGCTGGGGCTGCAGAAATCTCTAGAACCTGGAGGCTGCCTTCCAGGTCCTCACAGTGCTTGTGTGTCTGTGCAGACAGAGTTGTGCTGCCCTTGACCAGGGCCATGTGTGGCTCTGAAAAGGGCGGAAACACAGCCTCAGTGCTAATTGAAGAAACCGAGGGCTGCAGCCAGGGCCCATGCGCAGAGGATCAAAGATAACGCTGTGAAGGTGTCACAGTCCTGGAGTAAATGAAGAATCTCAGTCCAGGGGGTGTCAGAGCTGAAGGGACCTCGAACTCAGTGAACAGGGTCTTAGAGAGAGACGACAGAGGCAAGAGAATTGACTCCAAATAAACCAGAAGCACACCGAGGCCTAGAACCACTCTAACTTCTATTCAGAAATCTATACTCACACATATTCAGAGACATCCAGTGTGTACCTGGTAGGAACCAGGCACGGTGTTGGCCCTGGATCCGGGTTTACTGACTCATAGAGCAGGGCTTTTCATGTGCTGATGTCTTTCCCCGCCCCCAGATCTCAGGCTGTAGATCCTGTCTGGTGTCAGGCTGAGGCTAGGCGGCACCCTTAGATTCCTGAGATAACACACCAAGCTTCCTCCAAGATCTGGAAGAAGACAATAAGTCACAGAAGAGTAGTCAAACTGGTTTCTGTGATTAAATCCCCAGATAGTAGCAGCACTTAGCCTGCGAAAAGCTTAGGACTTGGGCAATTTGTGCTGACCTTCAGCCAAGAGAGGTACAAGGAATATAAACTAATAATAAAAATAGTTGTCCCCCTGTATCTGTTGATTATATCAACACAGGGAGAAGTTGGGGAGTGGTGGGGCTGGGCCAAGGCAGGAAGGGCAGGGAGTGAGGGTATCACAAGCTATGATCAAAGACAGATGGAGTCAACAAGAAGGAGACCTGCCAGATGCCAGCCCCTGGGCACACAGACGCTGAAACAGGACTGAATGAGGCCTTTCATTCTACCTGATGGAAGGCTGTCCAAGACCCATTTGCACCAAATGAGTTATGTTTTGCCCAGGCGAGTCCCATTTCAGAAGGTTCTGCTATTTCTGGGGAAAGTTCAGCAAGCTAAAGAATCTTCTTGACTTTAGCAGCCTCAACTAGGGAATCCTTACCTGTGCTGGTGATGACCGGAGCTGGTGCTGATGGTGCCAGATCCCCTTCCCACCACTTACATGGTCACTTTAAAAGGCTAACAAGGCTGTTACTATTCCCTTTATGCAAATGAAGCAAATAAAGAATGAGCTTGTCCTCCTCACAAAGCTAGTAAATGCAAGTGCGGCCTGGTCTGATGCATCATTGCCTTCCAGCTGCAAGGTGGCCAGTCCTTTTTCTTACCATGCAATGCTGCTGTCCCTACACTGGGAAGAGTGGAAGGGAAGGATGGAGAGAGGGAGGGAGGGAGGGACGGAGGGAGGGAGGGAAAAAGGAAGGAGGGAAGGAGGGAGGAAGGAAGGAAGGAAGGAAGGAAGGAAGGAAGGAAGGAAGGAAGGAAGGAAGAGAGGGAGGATTCAGTCTGTGTGGGTCAGCACACATCAAAGAACATGTTGCCTGGCTTCTGTGCTTGAAAAGGAAAAGATGCTAGGAAGCCGCATTCTACAATGACCCAGTTTTATGCACTAGGTTTATCTGAGTGGCCCAAAAAACATGGCAATATCTTTGAGTTGTGTTTCTATTTAACTAATTCCAAATTCCATCACAAAGAATGTGCATTAGCAATAACAATAGCTATCTCAATATAGAAGAATTAGCAGAAATAGAAGAAATAAATTCATATTGCAAGTTCATTAGGAGAGATAGCTCAGTGGTAAAGAGCACACACTGTTCTTGTAGACGACCCTGTTTTGTTTTGTTTTTTGCCCGGCACACATATTGAGTGACTTACAACCACCTATAACTCCAGTTCCAGGGGATCAGATACCCTCTTCTGGCTTCCATGGGCAACTACACACACAATGTTGTGCCCAAATTCTGAACCCCAAAATCACCATGGGGCCCATTTTGATGCCAAAGCAAAGAGTCTTTTATTGTAGATGTTTAACGAGCTAACCCCATTAGCTTGGTCCCTTCAACCCGCCACCATGGCAGATGGCTGGAGAAAAACCCCGAGCAACCTCAACCTCGAGGCAGGGATCTTAAAGGGCAGTGTAAGGGGAGTGTCTAGGGGTATGAATCAGTCTCAGGATTGGTGCGCTTCCAGGTTTGGGTGACCTGCCCTGTGTTGATTGGTCAACTGGTTGTTATGGCCCATAGGCCCTCCCAGGGCAGGTGCTATGCTCTGCACATCACTGTTGTGTACTTGTCTGTAAAGCACACCCAGAGCCGTAAAGCACAGCCCCACCAGCTAACTTCTGATTGGTTCCTTGCCACAAGGGGCATCTGACCTTAGTGACCAGGACAGGAGCGGCAAGGCCATGCAAGCACATGTTAGCCTGTCATGGCTGCTGAAATGGGGGTCTGGTCACTACAACAAATACACATAATTACTTTTTTAAATTAAATTCAGTAGAAACTGAGCATGGTAGCATATACCTGTCAGCTAGGCAGCAAGGCCCTATCACATAACCAGCAAGAACAAAAGTTTGTTAGATGTTCTCTGTCCCTTGGGCCCCAGTGATGTCTATTCAGTGTGGCTATTCTACCCTTGCCTGGGGCAGAGGTGGGGTGGGGTGGAGGGGCACCACCCTCAGGGTTACAGAATGCAATGGAGCAGCGGGGCTGTCCCCAGCTGAGCGTTTTCCAGGGGATTATGTCCTCCCGAGCAGTGTGGCAGTGAGTCGCGATGCTGACCATCTGCTTCCCCGCATCTTCTAGAGCTGCCAACTTCCGGAACTTCACCTTCATCCAGCTGAATGGAGAATTTTCCCGTGGAAAGGGACTGGATGTCGGAGCCCGCTCATGGAAGGGAAGCAATGTCCTGCTCTTTTTCTGTGATGTGGACATCTACTTCACCTCCGAGTTCCTCAACACGTGTAGGCTGAACACACAGCCAGGTTAGCACGCGGTCAGTCCTTTCCTCCTTCAGGCGTTCGGCTGGCTCTCTTTCCCTCAGGCACTGCTGTGTGTACCATCTACTCTGGCGCCCTGCTGAGGGTCAGGCTCACTTTCTTCCAGTCACAAAGACAGGGAGGGTGACCTTGTTCAATTCACCCTCAGGGGTTGTGCAATAGGCCTGTCAGGCACACCAGTTCTGGGACTGTCTTGTGTCTCTGTTCACAACCTCTTTCTGTCTCAAACTGGGAGATCAAATGAGTGGGACATTCACAGGAAACAGTGGGCCAGAAGACACGGACCTGTAAAAGCCTATCAAAGGCTATGGCAAAAAAAAAAAACATGCAGATGTGACAGACAGCTAACAGTCCAAGCATGTTCATTTGCTGTTAAATGTGGCAATTCTTCCATGTATATCAGCTGTTCTGAGCCCTCTGCTGCCCAGGGTCCTCCTGACCTCCTCTGCCAGTCTTTAAGGTTGTGCGGGAAACCCGTGTTTAAGGGCTTTGTGTATGCAGGACAGGGGCACCAGGAACCTCGTCCGCACTTATCGCTTTGGGGAAGGCAATGGCAGCCGCTGACTGTCAGCAACTTGCCCGTTGTTCTCATCCCTGGGAGGACAGAAAGGTTTGAGAATCAGACCGACTGGCCTGGCTGGTGCAGTGTTTCTGTGATCCAGTCTAGAGCTGAGTGAAGGGAGACGAAAGAGTGGGTGAAAATGCATGGGCTGTTTCCAGTGGCTGACCGCCTGCGTACAATCCAGCAGCCGAGTGAGTCCCTCCTAAGCAGATGTTTGCTTTCTGATTTGCAGGGAAGAAAGTGTTTTATCCGGTTCTTTTCAGCCAGTATAACCCTGGCATAATCTACGGCCATCATGATGCAGTCCCACCCCTAGATCAGCAGCTGGTGAGTAATTAAGCTGCAAATGTCTGTGTGTGACTGTTTCACGTCTCCTATTACAGGGGCACCTGACCGTAGGAAAGGTGAGTGGAATCCACAGGCCAATCCCCTTAGTGATTTTGAAGTATGGCAGATGTTCTGGCCTTTGCTGCAAGTGCCATATTGATTAAAAATGCTTGCAATATTTAAAAGTGGAAAATAAGTAGGAACCATACCGTATAAGAGAGTAATTTCACACCTTCATAGTTTTCTTCTATGGTTTTAGGAATGACTATTATTGGATTATGGCCACAGCATGCTTTCTCTTTATCATTACAAAATCTAGCAAGAAAAGTGAGGCTGATATTCCCAATGGGAACACCTAAAATGGTGGAAGACCATTGGCTTCCCCCAAGGTTACAGTGAGCCAGTGGGGAACAAGGACGCAATCCTCTCCCCTGGCCCTTCACCCATCCCATTGCAACCCATTCTGTCTCCATGGCTACACATCCTGTATTGGGGCAGATGATGGCATCAATCGTGTTACCAGAGAGGTAGCTTTCAAAGAAATGATAGAGGGACTTCTCTGCCAAGATCTTTGCTGCACTAGTGATGGGTCATGGAACCACAGAGCCCCCAGGGCCTGTTCAATCTCAGACAGCAGAAATGGGAACTAAGACAAACCAGGAGAGCATTCCCACGCCTCTCCAAGGCCATTGTAATAGTACCCTGTGCCCATATGGGGCATGCTCCAAGACCCTCACTAGATGCCTGAGATAATGAATAGTTCCAAGCCATAAATAATACCAATAGAGTGACGTTCTCTATACTTATACCCATGGTAACATTTAAATTATAAATTAGCAGTGGGAAAGTAACAACAAGAACTAATGATAATATAACAGTATCCTAAAATAAGCATCATTTGAAATGTAACTTGCTCATTTCTAGAATTATCCATTTAATATTTTCAGACTTCAGCAGATATAACTAAAACCATGGAGCGTATGGGAGGTACTGTACTGTTGGCTACCTGGGCACAGACCAGACCCTCCTCTCACCCCCACTCAGGGTAATCTTTCCAACAGGGCAATTATTTTGGATACCTCTGCCTCCTGTTAACAAGCCTGGGCATGCCATCTTTTTCCCACTTAGTAGCGCTCTTGTGGGCAGGAAGGAAATGAGACATAGACACGTAGATGTGATGGGACTAAGCTGCCTTGTGCCCCATGTCATGGGAGAACAATGTTCTGCAAAGTTCTTCTGGGTAGCTGAGTCTGTAATTAGTTTTCAGAAGTAATAAAATCTGTTCCCTCCAAGCCTGACCCATGCCCTACCCCCTCCCCAGGGTGATCCTCTAAGAACACTGAAGCTTTGGTGTTTTCAGAATGGAGGAGGGTCATGTCTCATGCTTGCCCTAGTGTGATTGGGGGCTCAAGCCAGAAAGTGCATAAACAGACTGTGTATGGTCTACATCTCTATCTGGGCTTTAAAGATGAAAACAATAGTTTCACAGGCAAAGAAGCCATTTTTCTACTCATGAGAGATAAGTCTCCTGTGAGGACAGGGGCTTCTGGCTTCCCATCCCAGGAGCTGTAAGCTTCTCATGGGGGTGGGGCTAAAGGAAAGTGGGAGGAAGTGTTTGTTGTCTTTCAACCAGTGAGAGTAAAAATTCCCTTGGTTTTAAATAAAGCTCTGTTTTACATTCGACATTGGAAATGATTAATGTTTCTAGTTAAAATCCATAAAAGCCCAATTTGCTTGCAAGGGCTTCTTTTCATTTCATAATCTAAAGGTTTTTGTCCTTTCTAGTTCATTCTGCTGAGAGCAGGTAGGATGGGAGGCAGAGAGACCGACAGTGTGGAAGCAGACCCACAGAATAAACAGTCCCGGTGGAAATGGCTTAGGTCGTTCAGTTCCCCGTGGCCACAGCTAGAAGCCTCAATCACCCTACAGTGTTGGACATTTACTTCTTTAGATGTCATTGACCTCTCCTGCGGTACACAAAGCAGCTGTTAAGAGCTCAGTCCTTACAATTAGTTAGTTCAGTGAGATACAACAATTTCAAAGTTCCCCAGACCCCAGAGAAATATGTGATTGTGTTCTTCATTAGAAAAGTCATTTATTTTATTTTATTTTATTTTTACTTATGTGTGTAAGGTCAGGTGAAGGTATAAGATCTCTTGGAGCTGGAGCCACATCTGATGCAGGTGCTGGGAACCAGGCTCAGGTCCTCCCCAAGGGCAACAAGTCCTTTTAGCCATGGAGACATCTGTAGAATCCCAACACAATTTGTATCTTGTTCACTTGCTACCCACACAGGTCTGTTCTGCATCCTGGTGACAGAGTCAAAAGAACTGTAGTTGTTTCCTACACTTAGGTGTGATTGATCAGAGACCTCTCTACCAACCACCCTCCAGAAAGGCTGAATTAATGGTCCATGGCTGCAGAGTTGGAGCTAGAGAGATAAGGTGCCTTCTATGAAAGCATGAGAACCTGAATTCAGGTCCCCACCCCACCCTAGACAGATGGGGGGCACACACATGAAACCGCAGCACTGGGAGAGTGATGGAGACAGGGAGATGCCCACAGGAGAGGTGGGGCAGTCATTAGCCAGAAAGTCTAGCCAAACTGCTAGCTCCGGGTTCATTGGAGACCTTCTCTCAAAAAATAATGTGAGGAGTGACAAAGGAAGACACCCAAAGTTAACCTCTGGCCTCTACACATGTACAGGTGAGCATCCACACACAAGTGTGCAAGCATGGGGCACAACAGCCCAGACACACACACAGACAGACACACACACACAGAGAAACACACACACGTATGCACGCACGCACGCACGCACGCACACACGCACACACATCTGACCCCAAAGTTAAGATCACAGGGTGTCTGAATGACAGAGCTTAGCTCATGCCAAGGTGTCCTTCCTCTTGAGCAGTGGGACTAGATCTGCCTAGCATCGCCAAGGAAGCCGAGGCATGCAGAAAATGGCCCGACAAGAATTCTAGAGGCAAACATCAAACTATAGAAACTAATACAATGGGGACAGAACGTGCAGGTGTCAAGACACCATAAAATAAAAAGTAATGGCTGGAGATGGGTAAGTTAGAAGAGATTTCCTCCTGCGATTGCAGTTTGGCTCAGTCTAGACTGTGTGTGTATATTAACAAATCCCTTGTAGCCTTGCCTGGGACACACCAGTTCCTCAATGGGGTGGGGAATCGGGTTCAGAACGGGACTGTAATAAAGGTCACCTATGAAACAAGGACGCCATTTCCCAGCAGCCCCGCAAATACAGCCTCCTGCTCAATGGTCCAAGGATGAGTTTTCACGGTCATCAGTCCTGGAGTTTCCCTTTTGCCTGGAGATGAAAGCAAGGATTTTTGTGTATGTCCAGATGACTTCTTATTTCTTTAACCTCTGCATACAAATCATTAGTAACAAGCGACACTGTGGGATTTCATGCTAATATTTAGCTTTTGAGTTAAACTCGAGATGAAACTTGCCAGTGCCTTAATGCAGAAACAGCATACCGAGAAGGGAATGGCTGTAATTTAAATCAGTGTTCACTTTAAACATTCCACCTTGCTGGCTCAGCCTGTCAGTTCCTGCTTAGATCCCTGCAGAAGCCTCCTACTTCTCCTATCTTTAGATTCCGACCCTCCCCACACTCCAATCTTTCCTCGTCCTCTGCCAGAGACTGGTTTTGAATAAACAAATTAATTCCACTTTTTATATAAAAAAAAGTGTTTATGGCGTAAAGCCAGTGGTATGCTTGCAAATGTTTAGCAACCCACTCTTGGAAAGAAGAAGAAGAAAAAAAAAGCCTGCTGATGGTCTTTGCCAATTTCCATGGTGTAAATAATCCCGCTGTGGCTTATTTTGGGCTTACCAGTGTATTACCACAGGGTATGCAGCAGCAGGGAAGAGAGGAGCATAACTCTGGTGCGCAGGTGTGCGCTGTCTCGAGCATGGGGCTACAAACTCTGATTTCTTGCTGGGACTAATTGTCCTCCATAAACCAACTCAACCTGATTGCAAAGAAGATACAAGCTAATCCCACCACCTGGCAGATGACACCAAGTCCAATGACATCCAAGTCAGCCTGCCATCGTGCAGGATGGCCTGCTCACAGTCTCTGAGTGCTGTCTTTGTTTCTCCAGGCCACGGCCTTACCAACTTTAGTCTCTCGGTGTTTGATGTCCACGGCCTTGCCAACTTTAGGCTCTCGATGTTTGACGTCCACGGCCTTACCAACTTTAGTCTCTCGGTGTTTGATATCCACGGTGACGGCTGCTGTGCAGTAGCACCTGCCACTGAAGCCTGCTCACTGTGGGACACTGTTGAGTGTTTGTGGAGTGCCCTTCTCACGTGTCCTCATCCTCTCTTGATTACACCTGCATTGCTTTATCTGCCTCAAATAGTTTCTGTGTGAGCCCAGATGTTGATATCAAGTCTCCCTTAATCCCTGGCCTCCTTAATTATTTTCTCTTTATTTATCCTCTCTTATGATACTCCTATTAGTCCCTTCTTTTTCCTTCTACTTTGTTTTTTGAGACAGGATCTCTCTCTCTCCCTCCCCCCTCTCTCTCTGTGTCTCTTTGTCTCTCTGTCTCTGTCTCTCTCTGTCTCTCTCTGTCTCTCTCTCTCACACACACACACACTCACTTTCTCCCTCCTTCCTCCTCATTTTCTCCTTCTCTTCCTTGTTCCTCTTTTCCACCTTGCCCCAAATATGTAGCTCGTTTATCTATCTAATCTGTCTGGACAGTGAACAGAGGATTAGGGACATGCTTAACTACACCTAGGTTTGTGTGTGAGTTCGAGGGATCCGAACTCTGGACTTCAGACTTGTGAAGCAGTCACTTTAGTAAGAAGCCATTTCTCAGCTTCTCAATTAGTTGATCTTTTTTATTTGGGGGCTTGAAATACGTGACCATTTAACCACTGACCTGTGCTTCAGTTTTGAGCATTGTCTGCTGAGTGTAGTATATGCAGTATACCCTTGCAGACTAGTTTTC